AAGTAGTTTTTTTCTTCACACAAAATAAGCTATTGGTATATTATTTTGGAATTCGAGTACTAAGGCCTATATAGGACCAAATTCAAGTAAATTGTTTGGTACCTTTTTGAAAGCACAATTTTTCTGGAACAAAAGAATGCAGATTTGAATCGTTTGAGTTTTATCTGTGATATATAGATTTAAATACGGAACATTTTGTAAACTTAATTATCAAAAAAGTATATTTCTAAGCGAAAAGGGGAAAAATTGTGTTATTTTTATTAGATCTTTCCACTAAAGTAGAATTTATTCCACTTTTGGTACTTTTTCTTTCTTCAAATGATACTCTGTATGTTTTATCATATGAATTCAAAACACATGATTATTAAACATACACGGTCCTCATTGAATAAGATTCTTTAAGAGAGAACTTTTTAGTACTTTTTATCTCATAAATGGTACTTTTTGAGTTTTCTAAAATATTCAAACGGGAACATAAATTTTAACATACATGGTCTTGACTGAATAATATTCTGTAAGTGGGTACTCTTTGGTACTTTTTCATTCTTCAAATGGTACCTTTTGGTTTCTCTATAATGGTTAACCGGAACACATCCTCATTAAATGAGAATTTATTGAGAGGGACTTTTGTACTTTTTCGTTTTTCCGACGGTACTTTTTGATATTTTTACGATATTGAACTTAGAAATATAAAATTTAAAATATAGGGACCTTAGTGAATGAGAATCTACTGAAAGGGACTTTTGGTACTTTTTCATTCATCAAATTATATTTTTTGAATTGTCTATAATATTGAACACAGAAACATAAAAATTTTGATTAAATAAGAGGCATTTTATAGTACCTTTTTCAAATAGGAATTTCGAAATTTTTTATAATGTGGAAGCTAAACGAATGAAACTAAAAATACAAGCTTCTTCCTGAATGCGAATTTATTCATGTGATATTGAACGTAAAAAACTGAAACATTAAAAAATTTTTAAATCAATTTTAATTTTCTAAAAAAGTAAACAAAATTTTGTATATGTATTTAATTTTGGTTAGGGTAGCGAAGCACCCAGGGTATGCTAGTCAAACATATACTATATAGAAATTATAAGAATCGTCGTAACATCCTCAAATGTTTACGAAAAGGTTTAAATTTGCTTTAAAGTTGTGATGATTTGACATCAATGGCTTCATATTTAACAACTTTGACCTGTTCTTTTCAGAAAACCCTTTTTGTTTTATCAATAGTCCACTGTCATCATGTTCGTCAATCCTCTTTTCACAATAAACTTGTAAAAAATCAACAAGAAATGCATGCATACAAAATATTTGGCATTACCTTCGTTAGTCAATATTTTTTATTTAATTTTTTCCCTAAAAGGAGTAATGAACGACATTGCCCGACATTCTTGAGCAACATTTTCGAAATGCGTTATGAAAATAGTTTACCGTGACTTTCAAATGAAACGAAGCAGTAAGTTGAAAACAACTAACGTCCTTCTTGAAGGCAATGTACAACAAAAATCATAAAAATTAACAACGAACTATATGTCTTCATATCCATACATACAAAAATATATAGGTACACTCGTATATTTACGATACCTTGTATTTAAATAGTCTTTGATTTTTATTTCATGTTTTAAAATGCATGTTCTTGTGATTGTTGTGTCAGCAAATTTCATTAAAATATGACGACTGACTAGAAATATCAAGGAAATCATGCAAAGACATCAAACATTTTGTAAAATATTGGTTAAGGGATAGTTAGTTTTCTATTAAGTGCAATATTAATTTTCTTACTCCAAAGTCTTTAGTTTTTGAAAAGATCAAATATCAATACATGCATACGTTCGTGATCTAGTGACATCAGTCCTTAGTGAACTATTAATGTGGCAAAGCCCGATGTTTTTACTACTATAATTTTTACTACTATAATATATAGAATTCCAAATTTTCGTCCACCTCAAAGTTTAACCATGAAGTGTTCAATTTTGACTCCAAAGTAATAATGAATGCCTAACATTAATGTTAACAGCGGACATAAGACCTATTCTGTCGCACGATTCACTTGTCGTACCTGACCTTGGCACCTACTCACTCGGAACTCTGGCGAGTTGAGACAAAATCAAATTGGTCATGACACAGGTCGACAGACCGACTTTAGGCCGCAAAAGGACCAACCCAACCTTTGATATTGCAGTCACTCCCTGTGCCAATTCATATGAACCAACCAACCAATCAACCAACCTAACTACTACTAACCTAACTAAATAACTAACTAACACTACTAACTAACTAACTAACTAACTAACTAACTAACTAACTAACTACTACTAACTAACTAACTAACTAACTAACTAATACGAACGAACTAACTAACTAGCTAACTAACTAACTAACTAACTAACTAAACTAACTAACTACTAACTAACTAACTAACTAACTAACTAACTAACTAACTAACTACTAACTAACTAACTAACTAACTAACTAACTAACTAACTAACTAACTAACTAACTAACTAACTAACTAACTAACTAACTAACTAACTAACTAACTACTACTAACTAACTAACTAACTACTAACTAACTAACTAACTAACTAACTAACTAACTAACTACTAACTAACTAACTACTAACTAACTAACTAACTAACTAACTAACTAACTAACTAACTAACTAACTAACTAACTAACTAACTAACTAACTAACTAACTAACTAACTACTAACTAACTAACTAACTACTAACTAACTAACTAACTACTAACTAACTAACTAACTAACTAACTAACTAACTAACTAACTACTAACTAACTAACTAACTAACTAACTAACTAACTAACTAACTAACTAACTAACTAACTAACTAACTACTAACTAACTAACTAACTACTAACTAACTAACTACTAACTAACTAACTAACTAACACTAACTAACTAACTAACTAACTAACTAACTAACTAACTAACTAACTACTAACTAACTACTAACTAACTAACTAACTAACTAACTAACTAACTAACTAACTAACTAACGAACTAACTAACTAACTAACTAACTAACTAACTAACTAACTAACGAACTAACTAACTAACTAACTAACTAACTAACTAACTAACTAACTACTAACTAACTAACTACTAACTAACTAACTAACTAACTAACTAACTAACTAACTAACTAACTAACTAACTAACTACTAACTAACTAACTAACTAACTAACTAACTAACTAACTAACTAACTAACTAACTAACTAACTAACTAACTAACTAACTAACTAACTAACTAACTAACTAACTAACTAACTAACTACTAACTAACTAACTAACTAACTACTAACTAACTAACTAACTAACTACTAACTAACTAACTAACTAACTAACTAACTAACTAACTAACTAACTAACTAACTAACTACTAACTAACTAACTAACTAACTAACTAACTACTAACTAACTAACTAACTAACTAACTAACTAACTAACTAACTACTACTAACTAACTAACTACTAACTAACTAACTACTAACTAACTAACTAACTAACTAACTAACTAACTAACTACTAACTAACTAACTAACTAACTAACTAACTAACTAACTAACTAACTAACTAACTACTAACTAACTAACTAACTACTAACTAACTAACTAACTAACTAACTAACTAACTAACTAACTAACTAACACTAACTAACTAACTAACTAACTAACTAACTAACTAACTAACTAACTAACTACTAACTAACTACTAACTAACTAACTAACTAACTAACTAACTAACTAACTAACTACTAACTAACTAACTAACTAACTAACTAACTAACTAACTAACTAACTAACTAACTAACTAACTAACTAACTACTAACTAACTAACTAACTAACTAACTAACTAACTAACTAACTAACTAACTAACTAATACTAACTAACTAACTACTAACTAACTAACTAATAACTAAACCGAACTAACTAACTAACTAACTAACTAACTAACTACTAACTAACTAACTAACAACTAACTAACTACTAACTAACTAACTAACTAACTAACCTAACTAACTAACTAACTAACTAACTAACCTAACTAACTAACTAACTAACTAACTAACTAACTAACTAACTAATAACTACTAACTAACTAACTAACTAACTAACTAACTAACTTAACTAACTAACTACTAACTAACTAACTAACTAACTAACTAACTACTAACTAACTAACTAACTACTAACTACTAACTAACTAACTAACTAGACTAACTAACTATACTAACTAACTAACTACTAACAACTAACTAACTAACTAAACTAACTAACTAACTAACTAACTAACTAACTAACTAACTAACTAACTAACTAACTAACTAACTAACTACTACTAACTAACTAACTAACTACTAACTAACTAACTAACTAACTAACTAACTAACTAACTAACTAACTAACTAACTAACTAACTAACTAACTACTAACTAACTAACTAACTAACTAACTAACTACTACTAACTAACTAACTAACTAACTAACTAACTAACTAACTAACTAACTAACTAACTAACTAACTAACTAACTAACTAACTAACTAACTAACTAACTAACTAACTAACTAACTAACTAACTAACTAACTAACTAACTAACTAACTAACTAACTAACTAACTACTAACGACTAACTAACTAACGACGCTATATCAGCGAAGACTCTTATTTATAAAATCTGTTAGGTTTTCTGAAAGTCCAAATGGAAAGGCAAAAGCAATAACCCCCTCTTTTTCGGTAGTGGTTTCAAAAATGTTTTCTAAACAAACTATTCTCCAACTAACGAAATCAATTTTTCACTTAACCAACGCAAGGCCAAAGTAAGTAGTTGTATACATCAAAAGGAGTTAAAAGTGCAATGCAGAAAAAATTAGGTACTTAAATAAACACACTTATAATAAATTTTAATTACTAGGATTTATTAAAAAAATGTCCACTCTTACGTCTCGTAAGAATACATGTGCGTATATAAAATATATATCTATTAGTTGTTAACTTATGATTTCAAAATAAAGCTGAACGACAGCGTCTTAGAACAGACACTTCGCTATCCGAGGACTTGGGCGATTTCACGCCATAACCATGATTTAGAGTATCGGGTGGTTTGGTCCATTTAACAAAATATGTTTTATATACAACAGCTTGAATTTTCGGTTTAGATTTGCGATATTTACCATGAAAGGGACGCAGTAGCCAATAAAAACTTTCAAAACGTGGACATTTTCTGCGACGTGGACTATTAATTATTTCCAATTTATTGCTTTTCTCAGTATCTTTAAGGGAACCATAACTTTGTATGGTGACCTGATGTTGTAGGGAAGACTTTAATACAGATTCTGATATGGTTTGTATATTCTGGGGATGTTGAGTTTCATGGCATATAGGCGGAGGTTTAGATATACCTTCCTGCCGATTACAGGCTGTTACTGGGGAGGAATTTGGAAGGGTTTTAATAATTTTGGTTTCCGTCTGATAAGTTTCTGGTTCCGGCTCATTATTGTTTTGCCAACAGGATTGCATTTTCAGACAATATAATTTGGAATGTGTTTTTACCGGTTTATTTTCGCTATCGCTCAAGTCCTCTGGTTCTTCATGAATGGGAGCAATTCGTGTTACACAATTCCGATTGCGTCTTAAATAACGACACAATTTCTTATTGTCTGTTTCACATTGTTTTAAAATGTGTTCATTGTGGTGCTCCTTTAAGGCTCTAAACTCCTTACGACGTGCTGCTGCTTCAGCTAAATTATTATTCGTTGAAGTGTTGTCCTGCTGGGGCATTTTTACCAAAATATAATGATCATTTACCAAACAAATATCCGATATCTTCTTGGGTTTCTCCAACAATTCATTTCTAAAAAAGTCATTCACTTTACCATTCTGATAAATTTTATAGTCTTTTCCGTCTTCGTCCTGCTCTGGCTCATTCGAGTAGTTGTTTTCTAATTCTTTAACTGTTATATCTTCTATTTCCTGTCGCTGTGATTTGGCCTTTTATTTTCCGGTTTCTCTTCCGACTCTATGGTAGCAACAGGTGTCTGTCTTAGCAATTGTTTTGATTTGATTACTTTATTTGTCACGTGTTCCACTACTTGCCTGTTGTCTATTGTTGGGTCTATTGATTTTTTCCGATTCGGTTGTGCAGCGTTATGTGTGAGTGTTCTGGCACGTTGTTGACTATTTGGATTGTGTATGACTTGGGGTAGTTGTTTTGTTGCTGTTGCTATTGACATATTTTTACCCCCAAATCCTAATTATCTGCAATTAAAAATAGAAAAAATACAATATTAGAAAACTTTAGTGATACGCATTTTATGTGGAGAAATTAGTGATGGGGAAAAATACGTTTAGATTTGTTAGGAGTGGGGGTGGGGAAGTATTCCTTATAATTACTTCTCATTATAGATGATCTAAAAAGATAAGATGGTATTCAAAATAACTATAATTATATGATGTTATTACAAATCTGCTGACATTTTGTTGTCAGTTTATAACAAGTTACATTCGACAGTGCCGAATTTTATAACCTCACCTGAACATGTGTTAAAAATTTGAACAAGTCGGAATTAAAAATGTTCGACACTACTTTGACAGGCCAACAAAATTTGAAATAGTCGAAATCTAGAGATCAAAATAGACATTTCTAAAGGATTGAGTTCCGATGTGAACTCAGAATTTCGAGATAACGTGTCGTAAGGTTTGAAAAAACCCGTTTTTGCCATATTTGAGCCCTTATAACAGCGCGAAGACATCTTTATTTATAAAGTTTTGGTGTCGTCTTAAAGATATCTTAACCTTAAACTTGAAACAACTATGATATTATGGAGATATTCCGAGGCCATCTCAATTCTTTAGAATAGTATACTTTTGGCCTCTGGGTTAAATATATAATATCCTTTATATAACTCTCGATTTCATGTTTAAAGCTGCCCTAAAGGCTGGCCACTTTCATAATTTTCCGATCCCATAAAGTTTATATATTATAAATCCTTGTAGAAAACGAAGCTGATTTAACGATGTCCGCATGTTTGTTGAAAATGATTTTCTAAAGACCCTAGATATCATCGGTATCCAAATATTCAATGATTCTATCAGATGTGCTTCGAAGAAGTTTTCTATCGAAAATAACTAAAATCGGCATATAAATAACGGAAATGTGAGCAAAATTCTGAAAACTCATGAGTTTTTCTAGAATTTTTCATATATGATGGGTGCTATTTTTGATATGTACATCAAAGATATTCAAAAGACCTTTCATTTTCCTCAAAGGCTGTGGATGACAGTGCTAGAGAACTCCATTTCTTCTGATGATAATTTGTTAGTCGAATATGAATATATGAAACATTTTAGTTCAAGATCATTTTTAAATTGCGCATTCGTTAGCAATCTAATTCCTGGTAACGACCATATGTGTTGGATACTACTCGCGGCCTGGGAAACGGTGCAGGCATTAAGCTACCTAATCCGAACCAGTTGAATCGTTAGTGAAGGCGGAGATCGTGTCGATCTAAGGAAGGGATATTGGAGCACTCTGTGTTCTCTTAAAACAGCACCCTTGTCTAAACACACCCTACTCAGTGAGTCTATTGAAATGAATTTAGACAATAACCCCCTCATAGTTCCTTAAATTTAAAGCTTTATCTCTAGACATAGCTTTAATCTGTGACCAGCAAACTTTATTTCATCAGCTGTTATTTGCCTGCCAAGGTAAGAAGGAGCAAATTGGTGTGGTGCGTTTACTTTCATGGTTTAGTCTTACAAACATTAATTCATAATTGGTACTTTCTAGCGATTTTCCTTAAGCTGTATATTTTACTTTACATGTAACATAGCCCCCGGGGGCATGTTAGCTTGATGAAGACCCCATCTTGGTGAGATTACAATCCCGGGGAAACGAAGTGCTACCAATACCTCTAGTCTGTCGGGAGTATTAACTGGTGATGATCAAATGTATCCTCGGCCTTTTTTTGGATTGATTTGACATGGGGTCGAACCAGAGAACCTCATAATCTGGTACTACGGGTGTACAGGACTTTGTCCTGGCTGGTCAGTTGGTTCAGGATCCACGTAGTGTCTATGGTTTAATTCCGAATTCGCGGGAAGAGAATATCGGTTAATTTCACAGTCCTGCGCCGTGAAATCCATAATTCGGGATAAGTTCGATGTTATAGCCGAAGTCAACAGATACCCTACAGAAGAATTACTGTGGGACTAAGCATTCGATATGAGTTGAGCTTAAGTGTATATGATACAGGATGAATGTAGGGGTATACGGATCTTACCCTCCCGTATACCTAGAGTGAGTGTGTCGGAAGTTGTTCTCTATGAGTGTGTCGGATGAATGAGAAGTGTGCTGGGTTGAATAGTGAAGGATGAAAGGTATATTATACAAGTGATACCACTAAATTTTTCTTCCTAGTCCAGGTATGTTCAGGGAAAACTATGTTCGTACCAAATGTATCAGAGTGTGTTCTGTGATTAAGAACAAGACCTTGGCTTATTTGATTATTTGGATTAGTGTTTCGAACCACTGAATAAGTCTCTAGGTGCTGTTGCCGATTCAACTGAGGCCATCCCATCTGTGTGGTTGTAAACGGAAGCAATGTTTTTGCATCTCGAAAGTTAAGCAACGGGGCCGATTATATAGTTCGAGTACTTGCGCAAAGTGCTTGTTCATGGACCGGCAGAAACATGTGCACAAATTGCCATACGCTTGAAAGATACCCTACGACATCAGCTTACGTGTTAAGACTGGCCTGATATATGGAGCTCATGAAGCCATAAATGCTTTGATCAGATATAACTTAGCGAGTTTTCGTAATTAACAATTCCTGCTCTCATGTAGGACAGTTTCCACGGACCATATTTTATGGTATATATACATATGTGCTATGTCTAGCAGAAGTTAGCCGGAGTGGGTATATTTCTGACATGGAGATCTCTCTGATGATCGTAAAATCAAGAAAAGCAATTTATCCTCAAACACTTCAAGGAAACAAAGAGAAATTACTGAGATTCTTTTAAGTTTAATCAAAATATTATTATTCTTCTCAAAGCCTTTTAAAGCTATCGGTTCTCACTATATATATATGTATACATTTTAAAATTAGATTTCACTTTACACGATCAGTTGAGATTTTTCACTTCAAAATATGTACATTTATTATACCCTACACCACACAGTGGTATAGGAAAAAAAAAAGAGGGAAATAATTCGGTAACTTCTAAACGGTTAATCCGATTTTAATGAAATTTGGTGTGCACAAAGAGGAGGTGTTGTCGAGTTTAGGTTTTGAATTTGGACCTTATAGGCCAACCAGGGGCCCGGCGGGGGGTCCTCAAATTAGGACACCTCGGCTATGTTAAATTTTTAAAACGATCCTATTTCTTCATTTGAGTTCCGATTTAAAAAAAATTTCGTATATAGCACTATTATTTTCATCCATAAGGTTAACTCTTAAATTTGTTACATATATGGATGAAAATAATAGTGCTAGGTAAATTTTCTAAAAGATGTTGAGTTTTCCCTAATTAATTTGTCACTTAAAAAACATTAGGTAGGCATGTTATATATCAATGGAAAGGTAATTTTGTCTATTTTTCAAAACTGTATATAATTTTTGAAAATTAAAAAATTCGCGGAATACTTTTTTTAAAAAAAATTAAAAAATGTTTTTTATTCAGTTTTTGCGAAGATACAAATTTTTCAAATTGCAATAAAAATTTTATTTATGAATATTTTTACAGTTAGGTAGATTTTTTTACTCAAAATCCAAAATTAAATAAAAATTTCGAATTTTCTTATTAGAAATCCCGGAATTCCCAAAAAAGTTTTAAAAAATCCCAAAAATGGGATTTTTTGGTTTTTTGCCTATTATATCCATACCAGGGGCGGGGTTATCGAAACCCGTTACAAAATGATTAAGAACTTATTGGGTCATATAAAACAGGTCACTATAATTTGATATCGACTATGCGATTTGAGAATTTTTGCTCAAAATTTAATTTTCCATAAAAAATAGGGTTTTTTTGGATGGACCTGGTCCCCTCGGTATCAAAAATTTGTAGGTTTTGTTTCATTTATCGTATTTTATGTAAAGTCAGCTTTCCAAAAAGTATAAATTCTATATACATCTTCTTAGAAACTTTTTAGATAACTTAAAAAGAAAAAGATACTTTTTTCCCAAAAAAATGACAAAAAATCGCCTTTTTTAATTTTTTAAATTTAAATGCCTATAACTTTGGACTCAGTCATGATTTTTACATAATTCTTTCACTGCTTGGTATATAAACTTGTTGTTAAGCAAATAAAAAAAAATGGCGAAAATCGGAAATATTTGGACCTGCTATTATCAAAAAAACTAAAGTAAGGACGGTAAAAATTTTAAAATTTTAATATTCAAATGCGAATATCTCCTAAACTATAAGAGATAATTTACTGCTACACGACATTTTTTATAGTGCTCGATGAGGAGATTCTATATACGAAATTTTTTTTAAATCGGAACTCAAATGAAGAAATAGGATCGTTTTAAAAATTTAACATAGCCGAGGTGTCCTAATTTGAGGACCCCCCGCCGGGCCCCTGGTTGGCCTATAAGGTCCAAATTCAAAACCTAAACTCGACAACACCTCCTCTTTGTGCATACCAAATTTCATTAAAATCGGATTAACCGTTTAGAAGTTACCGAATTATTTCCCTCTTTTTTTTTTCCTATACCACTGTGCACCACTTTAGTGGAGAGGGTATATTGGGTTTGTGCTGATGTTTGTAACGCACAATAATATTGGTCCTATACCCACCTTAAAGTATACCAATCGGCTCAGAATCATTTTCGATTTAGCTGTGTC